AAGTAGTTCCTTTGCTTGTGCCCTGCAACGGCAATGCCTGTTTTAGGCTCCAGAGGCATTGTGTTGTGACCGATATTATGATAGTAATCTGTTTCCATAGACTTTAAAATTATTAAGTCTTTATGAATATTTTTCAGTGTTGTTTATGATAGACTCTACAAAGATCTGGTTTGCATGTGTATAGTAGAATATGTTAGAGACATACTGCCCAAACACATACCAGTGTCAAAAAAAGGGAGGCCAGAACTTATGTAAATCGGAGAATGATCAGTGATCATAATATTTGTTGGGATCTACTAGAGTATAATATACTCCATTTCTAGTACACAGATAGTTTAATGTGATGTACAGGGTAAGAAATAGCCACATTAAAGGAGAACAATGCTGCTTCAGTAGGATTTTCTATTCAGGAGTCTTTAGGAGAGGCATCTGGAAGAGGAGGCAGATCTCTGCTTTGTCTTGTACCTTGGATGTTATTTTAGAGAGAATAAGGCATATGTTGTATTTATTTGTTTGTTTTTGCAAGGATAAGGGTCAAACCTAGAACCGAAGGAATTGTTCATGCTAGGCATATGTTCTAACTACTGAACTACAGGCTCAGTTCTTTATGCTAAGTTGGTTTTACTATTATTATGTTTATGTTTATGTTGAGGCAGAGCCTAATATTTATTTATTTTGAGACGGAGCTTCACTATGTAGCCCTGGCTGCCATGCAAGCGCCAGGGTGGCCTGGAAACTCAGAGATCTGCCAGCCTCTGTTTCACAGGTTCTTGTAGACAGGGGTTTCTGTCCCACCCAGTCATACAGCCGTTTGGTCCCAAATAAACACACAGGTTTATATTAATTACAAACTGTTGGGCCAATGGCGAAGGCTTCTTACTGGCTAGCTCTCTCTCAATTATTGATCAGTTTCTATTAATCTACCTATCTCCCCGTTCTTGGCTTACCTGACAATGCCTCAATACCCTACCTTCCCAGGGGCTACATGGCGAACCCTTGCGGCTCACTCTCTCTGTTCCTCTTCTCAGAATCCTTGCGGCTCACTCTCTCTGTTCCTCTTCTCAGAGTGCTCCTAATCTGGTTGCCCCCCTATACTTCCTGTCTGGCTACACCCTGCCTGTCCATTGGCTGATACAGCTTCCTTTATCACCCAGTAAGAGAAACATACATGCACAGCATTCAGAAGGACATCCCTCATCAGGTTCTGGAATTAAAGATGTGTGTCTGCACCCAGCTACCATATGCTACTTCACGAGCGTTTTCATGCCGCCCATCTTTTCATCATTACCATCATGTCTTATGGCTCAGAGTTACTTAGACACACATACTGAGACGTGAAGTAAGTCTTCATCCTGACAAGACTCCTATGACTGAGGTAACTGCAGTGGAGAAAAGAAGCATAGCGACATCAGGCTAGATAAAGAAAAGGTTTGGACTTACTGTAACTACACATCTCGGAAAACTGTTAATGAGTTTTACCTGTTCTTTGAAATCTTCATGGGTGTATATAATGTATCTTAATCTTCCCTACCTTCTACTCCCCACTCCAATTTTCCAGAATTCCACCGTCCCATCTCCCAACTTTATGTCCTCCATCTCCAACCAAGCGCTATCATCTTTATTCTCAGCAATTTTATTAGTAATGAATCTCTTCATTAACCCCTATCAATGGTGGTAGGAAGCTTCTCTGGCCAAGAGCAAGACAAATCTATGGATATAAAAATATTTAGAAGAAGTATGACCATTTACAAAAACATCAATACGTTTTCTCCTAGGACCTATCACTTCGCTAGCCATGGGTTTTGAGCATGTTTAACAGTTAGCAGGCGTGAGTATACCCCTGGGGAGCAGGCTTTACATCTAAGCCAAAGAGCAGGTGGTTACCCACATCAAAGTCTTGCTACTCTTACACCAGTAGGCATTTCTGGCAGGTCAGCAGTGTAACATGCAGTGTTCAGCACTGGGTAACACCACTGATATCTTTCCGAACCCCAGCCACCTTCAGAGCACCTTCCAGCACTATGAGAGACACCCAGCAGGGCATGCTCAGACTTAAATCAATGACTGAGGTGATTTGTTAATTAAGAAGGTTGGAAATCCCTTCATGGGGATCTCTGAAGATGGAATTGGTTGTTTGCAATGATATAATAGTTATTTGAAATGAATAAAATAAGCAATACAGTAAGTAAAGGTACACATTGAGAAATTGAATTTATAAGTAAGAATAATGGGGGGAAAATATAGGCACTGTCCATAAATACAAACTTTGGTAATACATTGCTGGATCTAATAAATGAACCAGAAAGCAATCTCTCTCTCTCTTTCTTACACACACACACACACACACACACACACACACACACACACACACACACAAATCTTTAGTGTTCTTTTTGTTTCTTTCCTTGTTTACTTTAAATCTTAAGTAATATTCAGTAATTAATTTAAACACTTTTCTTCTGCCATTATTACCTTGCATTGTCCACAGAACATTTTTTTAATCAAAAACAAACAAACAAACAAATAGAAAGTCTCAGTGAATTATCCTACTTCACACAAATGGATCATTAATGTGTTTTTCAAATTCCAAACCCAGTTTTTTTTTTTTTTTGTTGTTGTTGTTATATATCCTGACCAGTGTATTTCACCTGCATACTAAGTCAGTATTTCTAAAGTTAATGCTTTAGTTCTAAATTTAATAGCTCTCCTTTCTTCATTCTCATTCATTCATTCTCTCTCGTGTGTGTGTGTGTGTGTGTGTGTGTGTGTGTGCCTGCCCACGCGCTTGTATGTTTGTTCAGCATTCAACACCATTTACTCATTCTTTATGAAATACTTAATGTAAAACAGTTTAATTTTAGGAGACAGGAGAAGAGATTACTGTTTTTTCTCATCTAGACATAGCATTGTACATGCTTTAAACATATTTCCATTTTGTGTTTGATTAATATAGTCAAGATCATATCTCAACGTAATCTTTCTGCATCTTGTCTGGTCAAAATTATCACATTCTTTAATTAAAGGGAAGGAAGGATGTGTTATTACAATCAATAGGACGGCATGCTATAGAAGCAAATCAAAGTGGCTAGTTTGTTCCATTTTTACGATCCAATCTATATCCCTGTCACATTCCTACGATAGAGCTTTCACTTGCTGACATTGTGCAGTGCTGAGCCTGAAGGACTGTATAGAATTAATCCTTCCCAGAAATAAACAGAGGTTGTGTTAAAATTTAATACTCACCTTGTATGTGCCTAGTGGGATTCTCTATTTTTATCTTCTTCCTTTTTAAGAAATGTCTCCAACATTAAAAATGTTGCCAAAATAGTATAAACAATTCCAATTCCTTTCCTTTTTCCTCCAGTTTCAATCATGTTAATACCATATGTAATTATATGTTCAGACAGCTATTCTTTAAGCAGGCTGAGAAGATTGGTTCTGGAAAGCAAAATTCATGGGTGCTTGTTTATATGAGATATTGAATATAACCTACACCCTTCCTCCTGTGTATTTCTAGACGATAAAATTCACTATCAATGTTATCTTCATAGTATTCTGTGTTGTTTAAAGTATAATAACAAGAAAAATATCTGTATATGTTTAGTATAGTTGTAAATTTCTTTGTCAGTAGCCATCTGTGAATATAGAGAACAGATGTATAGTGGATGATTATGTGTATAATGTGTGTACAAATATATGTGCATGTTTCTGCTTGTGAATTTCCTTAATATAAATTTACAAGTTTCTTCATGAAGTTAATTTTTGAACAAAATTCCACAGCACTGAATTGGAATGTCTAAAATAAGATTTGGCAGGATCAGCTGTCTTGGAAGGGATGTTGTCTGGTGGTGTCTGGAAGCTGTAGCCTCTGAATGGGAGCGCTCAGGAGAGCAAAACAACCTGATAGCACCATTAATTTATTTGTGATATGGTCTGTGTATACAACTGAATTTTGTTAAGCCTTAAGAAAAATGAGATAAAGAAAGTGGACATCAGAAAAAATGAGAAGTGACACATTGTGTCTCATATTCAGATCTTTATGGTGTGTTTGAATGTATGCATATAAGGAGGTGTGAAAGAATGGTATAGGGTATGGAACCTCAGAGGGTAGAAAGGGTGTTGAAGGAAGTGAGGATAGTAGGACACCATGGTAGTGGAAAGGAAGCTAAAGGTGGCAGAGATGCAGGGGTTTGAACAGGGGCTGGGGGACAAGAAAGAGGAAGCCAGCCATAAAAACACATCTGCTTGGCTGGGGGACAAGAAAGAGGAAGCAAGCCATAAAAACACATCTGCTTGAAAGGGCCATCAGGAAACGTACACAGTAATTTAAAATTTTAAGTTTTAATAAAAATTTGAAAAAATATTCATGATAGATGGAGCCATCAACTCCCACTGAGTCTGCCTCTCAACATTTTTGAATTAGGAGTTAAGTTTCTTAGTTGTGGTTTGGGGACGAACCATTCAGTGGTGGATGGTTGTTACCAGAATATCTAACTGTAATTGTTATTCTATTACTGCCATTAGAAAGTTTTATCTGAGCCCAGTCCATTCCCAAATAATTGAAAATGTGTAGCTATCCCTTCTTGTAATACTTACATTTTTTTCAGTTTAAGGACTGTTTTTAAAACTTTATCCCTGGATTTCAATATTTTTACTTAAAAGACTCATTAAGTTCCATTTTAAGACTTAGTTCATATATATGAATTATTGACTTTATATATTCTATATAATATAATTTATTCACATTATGAAAAATATATTTAATTTTATTAAACAGATTCCTAAGTTTCACCTGACTAAATATTATTGGCATGTCCATAGTGCTGTTTGAGCGTGTGCATGTATACATGTGCATGCATCTTTTATTTAAAAGTATTTGGTGATTTATTATAATGTATTTTGTTTATTTTTTTAATGTGGTCACTGGATTTTACTTTTCTTTTTAAATGGTGTAGAAACCATGTTGATATCATTTACTAATGATCTTTTTTCAATGAATTACAGCAAAACATTCATTATTTTGGAGTTTAAAGTATGTCATCATGACAAAATTTCGAAGAAAGACTTGCATCATTTTGTCACTTTTTATTCTTTTTATTTTCTCTCTGATGATCGGCTTGAAGATGCTGAGGCCAAATACAGCATCCATTGGAACTCCTTTTGGGCTTGACCTTCTTCCAGAACTTCATCCACCCAAAGCCCCCTTGGAAGACAAACTTGACTTCCAAAAGAGTGATAGAACCAACATGGAAACAAATACCAAGAATTTAAAAGCTGCTGGCATGACTGTGCACCCACCCAAAGCCTCTGAAGTGAACCTAGAAGAGCTGCCTCCTCCGAATTATTTTTTACATGTATTTTATTACAGTTGGTATGGAAATCCACAATTTGATGGTAAATATATACACTGGAATCATCCAGTCCTGAAGCATTGGGACCCTAGAATAGCCAAGAACTATCCACAAGGGAGACATACTCCTCCAGATGACATTGGCTCCAGTTTTTATCCTGAGTTAGGAAGTTACAGCTCTCAGGACCCATCTGTCATAGAAGCTCACATGAGACAAATGTGCTCAGCCTCAATTGGTTGGTAATTAGTTCATTTTATTTACATATATAAATAATTTGTGTGGGCAATTAAATTACTAATCATTCTTCATACTTCATTAATTAAAGTCTTTACTCATATCCCTGGATCACACTACATTTGTGCCCTGTTCTGTGTTGGTTGTTGCTTGTTATTTTTGTTTTGTATTGTTTATCTGTTTATTTTTTGGGGTGGGTTGCAGTAGTTTGAATGGAACTGGATACTTCACTTGTGCTAGGCAACCCCTCCACACCTGAGCTGTGCATGGTGCAGCTGAAAAAGCTGAGAGGACAGGGTTATGAATTCAGGGCAACAGCACCTTTCCCCTGCTCTAAAATTGTGAGCATCTTTGCCCCATTTACTGCTGACCCTGACCCCACTCCAGCAACTGTATCTGATTTCTGTCACTGTGAAGTTATGATTGTTCTGTTCCTTTATGACAGCACAATGAATTAGCTATCCTGTTTGCTTGTCTTAACTTGCACAGCACAGTATTTTGTGATTCACCTGTTGTTAAGGACATCAGTTTTAGTCATTTTTATATTGAGGATGTTGCTTCTGCAGGTGTGTTGGCCATTTCAACGGGGAGTTTTTTTTTTTTTTTCCTTTCTGTAGCATACAATTTGGCTTTATTTCTTTTAACTACTCCTTTTTCATTTCTGTGTCAGTTTCATTTTTTTATATAATGTATTAAGCTTTTTATTTAATGTCATAAAAATCTTTCCAATGACAGTGTGAGAAATGTAGAGTCTCTAGAGCCAGTGTTTGAATGTTCCACATAGCCAAGTCTGCTCTATTTCTTTGTGTTCTTTTTATTGTGCTTGCTTGTGTTTTACTCATTATTTTTTGAAACATGCTCTTGAGCTCAGGAAGAAGATTGCTTCCTGAGTGACTTTGCTCGTCTTTGCTGTTGAGAATGCTGATGCTGGCTCACACAAATATCTGCTTAAATCACAGCAGAAACACATGAGCATTGAGAGGCACAGACTGCTGCTTCCTAGAGATGATTCTCTGATAGGACCATCTATCTACTGGAACATGGGTCACCTCGTAGGGACCATATCCTTGTAGTAAACAGACTCTTGCTCCACCAACAGCCTTCCGATTGCCAATAGTTGCTCAGCTAATGGTGGTACTGGATGAGCCCTGCCCCCATCCATGGTGGAATTTTGGCTGATTTGATTTTGAGCTGTTTCTAATCTTGATTCCTTAATTTGTACAAGCTTCCCTTTATATAACATGATTTTTTCTTTCCATTTACAAAAAAAAAAAATTGTGCTATCCATTCTGTCTCTCTACTGTCCCACATTTCTTTATTTATATTTGAAGGTTTGAAGTGTTGGCTTAAGTATTTTCCCTGTAGTTAATGGTATCTCTGTAGACTGGTGTTTCTAATACCTATAGTGTAATTTCTTAATACAGAAATAAATAGGTACTTTGGGAAAGGACTCTAATTATTTGGCTCAATTAAATCTTCTTTTAAATGATATTTAATTTCTTAATACAGAAATAAATAGGTACTTTGGGAAAGAACTCCAATTATTTGGCTCAATGAAATCTTCTGTTAAATGATATTTATATGTTTAAGAAAAACCCTAGCATATGTAATAACTATAAAAATTATTAATTATAAAAATCTAGCATATAGTAATAATTGCAGAATTTTTATTCATAGTTGCCAAAAATGAAAATCAGCTAATATGTCCTTTAATAGGAAAGTGAATAAACATCCATATAACAGATATGTAACAGTAAAAACTGTGACTTACTGAGTCATAAAAAGACATAAGAGACCTAAAGTACAAATATTTAAGCAAATGAGTCCAGTTGTAGAGAGCTGTGAACTTTGATTCAAGCTATATGACATTCTAGCAAAGGTAGAATTATAGAGTGAAAAGTCAGTTACTACTGGTGGCAAATTAATGTTTATAGTAAATAAATCTGTCTGGTACTGTAATGATTAGCTTATGAACTTATGATTTTGTTAAAATTCACAAAACTTTGACACTGATAAAAGCTGTAGCCATTAGTTAACAATAATATGATGGTACTGTTTATCAAACATAGTAAATACTGCATGCGAATATGTGGATATGAATAACTGGAAAAAATGGTTAATGCCTTTGGGCATGGTGTATAAAGACTATATTTTTTTTTCTGAGTCATAATTATTCTGAAATGTGTAGTATGTTTATTTTAAAAGATATGAATTGCTTGAAATAGTACATAAAGTAACCAAATAACTGCAGTAACCCTTGAATGTACTTGGATTCATATTGCCAGTTTTGATACCCGCAGTCAGTCACTCTTGATAATTCCTGGTTGCTTTTCGTTCTTTGTTAATCTTTTCTATTAGGAGTACTGGCTCTTTCTTGGTACCCACCTCACTCAAATGATGAGAATGGAGAAGCTACTGATCATTTGGTACCAACTATTTTGGATAAAGCTCATAAATATAATCTGAAGGTACTTAATTTGTTTTCAAACTATATTTATCATTGTTAATCTTATCCTTTTGATAGTAAATTCTATTTTATGTACTCATTTTAATTAAAATTTCATATATATGTATGTATGTATATATACATATGTTCCAAATGTTACTACTTCATAAAAGTTATGTTTTAATAATTTAAATTTAAAACTTATCCAATTATAGGATACCCCTTGCTTCCATGTTTTATATTCAACTATCACATTTTGTATTGTTTTTTGATTGGGGACTCACTATGTAGCTCTGAGTGGCTTGGAACTTGTTATGTAGACCAGGTTGATGTGGAACTCACAGTAGTCCTTCTGCATTTGTCTCTCAGGTTTTGTGATTAAAGACATGCACCACTTTTTACTACGTGTTTATTAGGAAGAGAAAGGGTTGATAGATTCCTTTGTGAATACAATGTAGAAGTTAGTGAAATCAATGTCTGAATATCCTCTAAATGTTGAAAACCACTATTTCAACTATATAACTTTATAAAGTAGTTAGAAAATAAATTTGTGTCCAAACATTTTTCCTTTTTGGAATTTTAAATTAATTCTTTGAGAATTTTGTACGGTGCATTTTGTTAACAGTCACCCTATCTCGTATTAGATCCACCTACCCATCAGCTCTGTGTTCTGCCCCTCTGTCTCTCTCTATCCCATGAAGTTCAGTTTCGTGTGTACTTGGATGTTTGGCCTTCTGCTGGAGTTTGATTGGCCTACTAGGGCCCATACAAACTCTTAAAGAAAACTGAGTCTACCTCTTTCAGAAGATATCACTGCCAATAGTTCTAAAGCTAGGGATAGGACTCGATATCCATGCAGGGATTTTATCTGCTTTGAGTATGCACAAATTGTGGTGAGTTCATATGTGCAGCTAGGCTGTTATATCCAGAAAATAACTGTTTTCTGATATAGTTCTAGGTTCTGATTCTTAGAATCTTTCTACTTCCTTTTCTGCATTGATCCTTTATCCTAGTGAAGAGATGTGTGATATAGACCTACCATATAGTGCTTATTCTCTGCATTTTGACCAGTTTACCATATATTGCAAAAACAAATATTTCTGAGGGTTGAGAGATGAACTATTCTATAACAATAAGTCATCAGGAGTTTGTCTTAATACTGTGACCACTTAGCAGAATAAGAGTAGTAAGTTCTCCTTTAGGGCCTATGACCTATTGTTGGAGTTTCTTTCTAGCCTGGTCTCACAGCTGATTAGCCCCAAATAAACACATGGACTATATATTAATTATAAAACTATTGGCCAATGTCTAGGGCTCCTTATTGGCTGACTCTCTCTTAATTACTAACCCATAACTACTAATCTATGTATTTCTACATGGCCTTATCTTACCAGAGAACACCTGGTGCATCCTATCTTCCTGATCTCTACATGGAATTTTTTCGTGGCCTCTCTCTTCTGTCTCCCCAACATTCTTCTTATCTCCTAGTCCTGCCTATCTTCCAGCCTCTACTGGCCAATTTTATTCATCAACCAATAAGAGAAACATATACAGAAGAACATCCCCTATCAGTGACCTATTTAGCCATGGGGTCTTGGCTGCATAAAGGTTCTAGGTATGGATTTAATCTTAAAGAGTGGGTTTAAATCACAGGTGGCTGGCTCTCTCATGGTATTTATACTATTTCACCTGTGGTTATATGTTTTCAGGCTGGTTATTGTATTATTTGGGTTCATTGCTGGATAGGATTGTTGTGTCAGTCAGCAACTCCAGAACAAGTAAAGCTATCTGTTAGGGACAAAGCTTCCAGATTAGTATCAGCTTAATTTCTCCATATTCTGCAATTCAAGTTTGTAGTGTCTTCAGCAGTAGAATGTTAGAGTCAAGTTCTGGGGAGTAAGGAAAATTGGAAGAGTATTGACAATAAATAGTTCAACATTTAAAAAAAAATTTTTTTTCTCAGTTATGTCTCTGCTTTGTTTTGTTTTGTTTTTTAGTACGAGCTTTCTTGTGTGGCCTTGGCTGTCCTCAACTTCACTCACTCTATAGACAGGGCTGGCTGTGAACTCACAAAGATTGGCCTGCCTATGCCTCTTAAGTGCTGGGATGAAAGAATGCACCACCACTGCCTGGCTATGCTTTCTCTTCATCTTCATATCTATTATATTTGCTGTTATCTTGCTTCTATAGCTAAGATTTAAAGTTCTGTATTGACGTAAGCATCGAAATAAAAGGGGGTGGAGAACCCCTTGTCTCATTCATTGTTTTTGAGGTGATACTTTGCATCTTTCCTTCTTTATATGATAGCTGAGTGTAAGTTTGCCATATTATGTTGAAGTTAGGTACTTTCTATTCCCAGGGATTGGGGAATTGTTTGTGTTGTTTACTTGCATCATGAAAGAATATTGGGCCTTTTCTGTGTCTATTTATATAATCATGTGATTTCTATCCTTAAATCTAGTTATGTAATTTGTTATATTTGTTGATTTGCATGGTTTGAATCATCCTTGCATCCTTGAAATGAAGTCAACTAAATTATGAGAGTGATGTTTTGGATATTTTGTAGAATTTGGTTTGTTCATATTTTATAGAGAATATTTGCATCCATGTTTAACAGAAAATTGCTTTTTAAATTTCTTTTCTCTTGTGTCTTTATTTGGCTTGAATATCAGTGTAATACTTGCTTTATAAAATGGGTCTGGTAGCATTCTTTCCCCTTCTATTTTATGGAATTTAAGAAACATTAGGGATAGATCTCTAAAGTCTGGTAGATTTCAGCAGTGAATACATCTGGGGTTGGACTTTTTTACTAATTGGGAGATTTTTAGGTATGCATTCAATCTTACTGTGTATATAAACTTGTTAGTGATATTTATATCCTCTTGTTTTAATTTTAGGAAGACACACGTTCCTAGAAATGTATCTATTATTTCAAAATTATTCAAGGTATTGGAAAATATGGGTGGAAGTATGCCCTAAAGTCTTGTGTATGCCATATGTATATCCCTTCTTCCTTCCATATATTTATTAATATTAAATGACAGGTGACTCTTTTCTAGTCCTGTCTGTTTGTAATTCCAAATGCTTCCTGCATCTTTTCCTAAACTTAGGAAATTTGAAATTTTTATTTTATTGAACATACCTTTTAGTACTTTTAACTTTTCTTCTATGCCCTTGATTTGTAAATTGGTCTTTCTCACATGCTTTGCTCATAATTCCTTCTTATTTTATCTTTATTGATGCTTGAATGTTTTTGTTCATCTATTTTGTCTTCAAGCCTTGCTTTTCTGTGTTTCCTTTGATCCATTCATTGGTAAGTGTTTCCATTGAATTTTTTTCTTTTTTAGTTCTTTTTTATAGTTTTAGTTTTATATTTTGAAATTCACATAATAGATTAACAACCCTTTTCTAAAATAGGCCAAATATAAACTATTTTAGGCTTTTGGGGTTATATGACTCTGTAAATGGTATTCTTTAAATTTTCTTTAATCATATTTTTTTTTTACTGAAAATTTTCTTTGATCCTGTATATTCTGATCATGCTTTCCCCTCCCCACTTCTCCCAGATCCTCCTCACCTCTCCACCTTCATGTCCTTTTTTTTCTCTTTAAAAAACAAACAAACAAATGAAAAAACCAAGAAACTTTCACATATGCGCGCACACACACACACACACACACACACACACACACACCAAACCACACAGTTGGAAACCAAACACAGATGAATCATAACACAAATATTCTCCAAACAGGATAATATGAGATAGAAAGCCTATAAGCATAGCTTTGAATTTGTTTTGTATTGGCCATCTACTGCTGGGGATGAGGCCACTTGAAGCGTGGTTAATATACCCAGAGAGAAAACTAGTTTTTTCCTTTGCAAGTGGGTGTCAGCTGCAGAGAGCTTCTTGGATACATGTGGGTACTCAAGTTCACTTACATCACTCAGTATTGGGACTCAGTCTGATTGAACCTGTGTGGACCCTGTGTGTGGTACCACAGTCTCCAAATTTATATGTACATCATGCCTATTATGTCTGGAAGACAATGTTTCCTTGGAGTCATCTACCCTCTCTGGTTCTTACAGTCCTTCATCTCCTCTTATGTGTAGCTCCCTGAGCTCTGAGGGATGAAACATCCCACTGAGTACTTAGTATTCCAAAATTTCTTACTTTTTGTGCATTATCAAGTTGTGGGTCTCTGTGTTAGCTCCCATCTACTGCAAGAGGACACTTTTCTGAGGATGGCTGAGACACTGATTTGTGGGTATAGCATAATCTTGACAAAAATCATTTTATTGCTATGTTCCTTATGTCATAACAATAATGCTTAGTTTTCCTGTAGGCTCATGGTCCATCATGTGCCAGGTTCTGGGCTACTCAAGCCATGCCAGGCATGAGTTCCAACTCTTGGAGTGGACCTTAAATCCAATCAGACTGGAGTATCACTCGCCAATGCTTGTGTCACTATTGAATGCCTGTGTTGCAGGTATTCACTAGTTGATTGCAGGGTTTGTATCTGGGTTGGTTTTTAGCTTTCTTCTCTGGTAGTGTGTGGAATACATTCCAGTCCCAATAACATTCAGGATGAAGGGTAAAGCCTCTAGTTAGGCACGAGCTCTGCATTTCCATGATCAGTGAATTAAGCAAGTGTAATCCTCAGCAACAATTTTACACTGAATTTTTTGAGTGAGCTTTTCCCAGATTTTCACTTGTGTTTTTAAAAGTATTTCTTTATCTGTATTAAATTTGTGTTCACATCATGCCTTGCTTTCCTTATGTTATCCAGGTGTTCATTTGCATTCTCTTTTAATTATTTCAGGAAGTTATTCACATTCTTTTAGAATTTGTTCAATCTTCTTTTGTACCATTCTCTTAAATTCTTTGGTATTTCATTCTGGTCAGTCTTTGGAAAATTTAATACTGTGGAATCAGTAATTTTTGAAGGAGCCTTGAGCCATGACCTTTTGTGGTTATTGTTTCAGTGTTACTATTTGCACATCAGGGATTAGGTCATTGTG